ATCTGAGCAAAGAAATGAGTAGCGAATAGTGATCGCCGATGTCTGTTGAAGACCTGGCACTTGATGATGAGCTGTTGGTATTTCTCCTGTCTGTCTGTCTCTCCCTTTCTTTCACACACACACACACACACACACACACACACACACACACACACACACACACACACACACACACATACACACACACACTCTCGCAAACACGCGAATGCAATACACACATGATCACACACACACACACACACACACACACACAAACACACACACACACACACACGCACACACACACACGCACACACACACGCACGTACACACACACACACACACACACACACACGTACACACACGTACACACACGTACACACACACTTAAAATAACGATTGCACTAACACTAATAGATATTGCATGGACTACTAAATAATGTTATTCCTGCCAGTGGCGAAATGTCTATATAATCAAATAATCACTGCTTCCCTTCCTAATTTTGAAACATTGTCGCTGTCAAATTCACCCATAAACGTAAATCTCATAAATTAAATGACGTTCATAATAAAAAATGAACAGTATGCCTAACATTAAAAACGGTTTCACGGCCACAGAAATAGCCTGCTCACCCCTCTCGGGCCACTCCATAAGCAGTCGCAAGCTTTGATTAAGTAAGCTTAAAGTGAGGCTGGAAGAGCCTACCAATAGAGTTGAAGGGAACATGTGCATAGCTGTCAAAACTGTTTCATTGCCACATATACCTTTGGGGCCACAGTTATAAGCAATCAGAAGCCCTGATAATGTAAGCTAACTAACACTGGTCGAGTCTACCTCTCAAATGTGAGGGGAACTAACTCCTAATAATCTCTTGACTGCTGCAAGTGCTTGTTTTTTTCCCCTCGACTTTTTACCGTCCTATAATCAGATCGTGACCTCGATTATGACACCAGCTCCTGGCCGCGAAAGGCTAGACAAAAACAGCCAAATGTGAAATTTAAAAAATGACAATTGTCATGTTCTACCAAAGAGTTAGACTCACTGGTAGATTTATAACATATAGATCTAGTACTGACATCTCTGCTTCTTTGCTTTGTGTTTGTGTATTCACATCTAAAGTTACATTTAATTTTAGTTAGAATTGATATTTAATAAGATACTTTCCCGATTATTTTGGCGGTTGAACATACAATATGAATTCCGGATTTGTTTTCATTCACAACTCAGAGTCGCCGCCTCGAGTAAGATTCTTGTGTGATATCTACAGGCCATATGTGGTCCCGTTTCACTTTGATTACCCTATCAAACAAGTCAGCCTTCGCCCCTGATTCCTGCCCACCTGAACAATGAATTGAATAGCCCGTATTGAAAACAGTCTATTCTATAAACTACCTAAAGTTTCCACTGAAAGAATGAAAACACATACATTCCGTAGTTTCCTTTGTGCCTTGGAACCCTTTGACTCATCATAGGGGGGCTCTCGTGGCCTAGAAGTTAAGTTGTTGGCCTCTCATTCAAAGGTCCCGGGTTCGAATCCGGGTAGCAACCAAAAAAATGTTCTTTTCTAAAATTGTCTCCTCTCACCTCCTTTCCTGCTCTCTAGCAATGTTCTGTTGTCTGCTTTCATTTCCACTTTCTGCCCCCACCCCCTCACCTCCTTTGCCCCCTCCTCTGGGCTCCTGACTCTTTCTGCAGCCTTTCTACTGCTACTCCTTGGCCCCTCCTTACTGCTGTCTTTCTGCCACACCCCTGATCTTCTGGTAGGAAAGATCTACACCTAGCCTTCTCGGACAAGGGCGAAAAACTCGGAGGACCCGTGTGCAAGTTGCGCACGTTAAAGATCCCTTGGTGGTCTAAAATCGATAAGAGTAGGCTTCGGCCGCCACCCGGGCAAAAATTCAAAATTTCCTACCAACTGAAAATATTAGATGTGTCTCATATGACCTTATGTAGTTGCGAGCACCGTAAAACACTTTACAAAACAAACAAACAAACTCATCATAATGGACAACAGCGCTTTTTTCTTCGGACAATTTTTGTCGGATAAACCCCATATCATAAAAGAAGTAAGGCGTTCAAAGAAGAAATACAACCGACTTGGAAGGCTGTGAAAAGTCTGTAGAGTTCATTAACCGAATCTGCGAACAAAAATTAATTATTGGTTGAGAGTAACTGGGATCGTTATGATAAGGAAGGAATGGGTGCTGGGGGAGGGGGGGGGGTGTTAATTTAAGTCACCCGTTCAGAACATACTTGACCGATAACACATATCTGAGGTGTCCACTCTCTGTTAGGTAACATTTATTGGGTCGCCGTGACGTCATTCGCTAAGGACGTTCAAATTTAGTTTTATTTAAAAGGGGATTACAGGAAGTGCTGGGGGGTTTTTTTGGGGGGGGGGGGGGGGGGAGAAATGATTGAGTAAGAGAAAACGTAATGCTGATCAAAGTACCAATAGCAATACTTACAGTCCGTTAATAATTATTACGCCCCCCCCCCC